TTCAGTAAGTATTCTTTCTTCCATGGCAATCAGTCATTTGCATAAGTTCAATAAGAATCTGTTTTCCTTGTAACAGGACACTATTGGAAACTGGTTATTTTACCAAGGCTTTGACTGGGATATCATATTTGAAAAGACTCAGATATGACCAAACAGTTTAAAGGAACTAAGGTTGACTTTATGAATCCTGGAGCCGTAAAGCCCTTTGGAACTGTTGGCCTGATACCTTGCTTACAGAGTTCCCAGCAGCCTCACCAGGTGAGTAAAGAATGTCACTCCTTGGTAGGTGCAGAGCCTCAGGAATAGGAATTCGCCCAAGTCGACATGTATTACAGGCATGTCTGATGGCAAGTATGTGGCTTGGCTTCTGGCCTGGAGAGGCTACTAAAAGTTCAACCTAGAGATTCCTTATAAGAAGTTCCAGCAAAGCAGATTCTAAAAGGTCTATATGATCACACTCACTGTTCTTGCTGAGCTTACTTGTTTTTCAAGTAAATTAGTCCTAATTTGGCTATCTCTGGAAATGAGGGTTATTTTAGAGAGAAAAATTGTTTTAATAACACGCCTTTATGGATGTTAAATTCTAGATTTGGTTGTCTTTAAATGTTTGTTTACCTAAGCTAGACAACTTGAGGCAAACTTCAGAGGAAGATTTAAAATATTTATAAAAATGGGTTAAACTATACTATGAAGGGGACTGGACTAAGACTAGGAAGAAATTAGTAAGCCAAATACATCAGGGCACTCATTTGGGAACATGCAAGCTTAAGGAGCTTATGGACAAGCAGTTTCAGGTTTCTAAATTATGGCGTATGATTCAGGATATGGTTGATAGATGTGCTCAATGTCAGGCGGTAAATGCGAAAAGAACTAAAATAAAAAGAGGGAAAAGAGATAGAGATTTGGGTTACCTCTTGCGATCAGGTCAGACAATGACCCTGCATTTGTGAGTTCAGTCTCACAGGTATTGGCCAAAGCTATAGGCACTAATTGGAAACTACATTGTGCTTACTGGCCCCAGAGTTCCGGGCAAGTAGAGAGAATGAACTGGACTCTTGAAGAGACCTTGACAAAGCTAATTCTGGAGGCTGATGATGGATGGGTGGCTCTCCTTCCTTTCGCCCTCCTCACAGTGTGATGTACACCCTATTTAAACAAGGTGACCCCATTTGAAATAATGTTTGGGAAACACCCCCACCCGCTCTGCCCTCGGCTACAAGAGGTTGCCTTAGCAAAAATGATTGGTCAGTCTGTACTACAGTCACTGCAGGCATTACAGTCTGTCTAGCCCACACAGGGATCCGAACTGCCCACACTGAGACAGAGATGGAGCTGGAACCACATCCTTACCAACCCGGGGACTTGGTTTGAATATGTCACCACCAAGTGGGAAACTTGGAGCCTCGCTGGAAGGGACCTTTACTATCATCCTGACCACCCCCATGGCAATGAAAATAGAAGGCATCCGGGCCTGGATTCATGCGGGTCACGTCTAACAAGCCAAGGATGAGGACACCCCCCAGAGATGGAAGCTGCTGCCAGTGGACCCTGCGGATCGTGGACTAAAGCTAAGACTCAAAAGACTTTGAGTTCATTGTTGCTCCTATTGTTACCTGTTTTTATAAGAGCTTCTAAGTCACCTCATAAGACAGAAAAGTATAGGTGGGAAATTAAACAAACGGAATTAGGAAAAGTGGAAAAGGTTATACAAAGCGGTGAATGGCTAACTCATCAATCAACTGTGCAATTTAATGTAACCTTATGCCAATTGGCACCCATTAACCCCGTTTAGATGACTTATAACCCCTTACAATAGAAAAACATAGAACTGGCTAAAAAGTCAAGGATTTGACTAATCTCCAAAGAAAAGGGGGAATGTCAGGGCCTACTTGGCCAGAGTGAGCCATTTTGTTGTTTATGCAGTAAACTTAGATTGAACCTGCCCCTTCCCCCAAGAGGAAAGCGCTTAGAAACAAAATTGGTGAAATACGGCCAAATAGCCCCCGATAATGGAGTCCAGATTCAAGGACGTGTCCGGCCAGATGGAAACGTCCAATCAAGGGAAAAACGCACGTATTACCCGCCAGGGAGTGTGAGCCCCTGCCTTTTGGGCACCAGACGAAGGCGCCAATTCTAGCCAAGGTCATAGGCTGAATTAGATGACTATCATGGGGTAGAATGTAATTCAATTGGCCACCTGTGTGTGGCCAGGCTCAACCACATGGCCTTTACTCTATAAAAGTTAGTCTGTGAGACTGGGAGGGGTCGCCTCTTTGCAAGAGACGGCCCTGGCCGGTCAGTTTGATTCTCGATGCTTGGTGTGAAATAAAGATTTGCTTGACCTTCGCTTTGTATCAGTCTCGTCCTTTTGTCCACGGACCCTTTCACTTGTAACAGAATGCATCTTTCTCATGCTGCGCTTTTCTTACCAACACTATCCCCTGAGCCATCTAAGCAAGCAGATCAGGTTGAAAAACCTTTGAAAAGATGCAACCTTGGTTCAAAGGTGCCTTCCTGTAGTGAGGTCAGGAAGACTGGGATTCTAATACCAGCGCTGACAGGTACAGCACTGCCTTGGGGTCGTCCCAGCTTCCCTGGGCTGTCTCAACAACCAGATTTCCTCGGTGAAAGAATGGGGACACGGCATCTGGGATGAATAGACTTTCAGCACTCTTTCTTTCCTTGCCTGCTTACCCAACGTCATCAGCCAGACAGCATTCAGAAGATGCACGTGAACGTATGAGTGTGGAAATGTAAACCACTTTAGGCCAGAATGAGATGAGAGATCAGGCAAAGTTTTATTTAGCAGAGGTAAGTTTTTTTCCTAAAAATAACTAACTTTTTATTGACCACTTACATATGGACAGGCTGAAAACCAAGGTAGCTTGTTAGGCATCCAGTTGTGTTTCCAAGTGCTCTAATAATTTCGAGAATTTTTAAATTTTGCCTACACACACCACAGACCCCCTCCTCACACTCACTCACTCACTCACATACTCCCCCCATGGAAGGACCTACCAGTCAAGCCTCTAGAAAGGCTTATTTGAGCAGACACGGAACTAAAAGGTATAAACATTCCTTGAGTTCACTTTGTGACTCTTCAAATACTTTCGCCCAGTGGATGAAGCTTAAAACAAACAACATGAGCCAGAATACATTTTGTGATAATTTTTTTCTTCTCTTTAGAAAAAAAAAAAATATGTACAAAAAAAAGCTAAGAAGAGCCAACATGGAAGGTGTCAAGAAAACATTCTGATAGGTACAGACAAGGGAGCTCCTTCTCTCAAAGGAGTTACACATTAGTTATTACCATGCTAGAAAAATGAGATGCAGTTAAAATTCTAGAACAATTAAAAGCCACAAAGTCAAGCTGTTGCTCTGGGGCTCTAGGTTGTAGATGCTCTGATACCCTTTCTGTAAAATAATACTGTGCAAAGTGTAAAATATTCATTTTCATATAAAGTCCATACAATATGAGATATAAAACTGTTGAGTTGACAGGGGAGACTGGTACAGGTTGCTTTTTGGAAGGAAGTCTGCAGTATTACCTGCCAGCCCAGGGACACGATTCCAGAAAGACCTTGCATCTCTGAGCTAGGAGAAACCATTATTGAAGAGAGAACCATGTAGCCCCAACACCCCTCAAATCCAGGAGTCTCTGCCACTTGTTTATGTAAGTAAGTGACTTCATTAATAGATTACTTTAACTTAGAATACAAAACAGGTTAAGAGACAAGGATAAAAAGTTCTTTTTGAAAGAAATATTTCTTTCTGCGCAATTGATTTTGAGATTTACCATTAACCCACATCGCCCTCCCTGCAACTCAAAAGTTAACTTTCATTAAAATTCAAAAGTTCTGGAGGAGGCAGCAAGTACAGTAATAAAGGGTTAAAGTGAACTGTTATATTCATTTTATTTCTGTGCCTATAAAACTGAGAAAAGAAGGTTCGTGTACAAATTTCACAAAACAACATCAATCATTGAGTCAATGTGGTTCTTCAATGCACACTGGAACAAGGAGAAAATTTCGTTGGTTTAAAATTCTGGCATAAATATATTAAAGCTGACCAAAAAAAAAAAAAAATGAGGGCAAGCTACATCACTTCCTCATACAAAAAAATGTACAAAACGTTAGCCTCTAACTAGATAAACATAATACTTGTCTTCACAGTTTGACATCAAGTAACTGTGTGTCTTGAAGTATTGAATTGGAGGGTGATTAAAAAAAAAACAGCTTGTGACACCTCAGCTGTCTCAGGTGACTTCGGTCATGGAGGCAGAGTGATTCTGCAAAGACAAGCAGATGCAGACTCAGCGTGGGCTGACTGACTCATGTGCACACTCACTCTTCCTAGGCTGTGCCCTTGCGCTCTTGTCTCCCGGCTTTGCAAAGGCTGTTTCCTCTCCCTGAAATGCTCTTCCAGGGCCCCTTAAATTGTCACCTCCTCTATTACATCTTCCCTGATACATTTTTTTTAAGTTTTTTTTTTTCTTTTTTTTTTTTTAAGTAATCTCTACACCCGATGTGGGACTGGAACTCATGACCCCGAGAACAAGAGTCAAATGCTTTACCGACTAAGCCAGTCTGGTGCCCCTAAATCTTCCCTGATTTTTCAACCAAAATAGAATAATTTGTTCAACTAAACTTGGTCTCTATAGAATTATCTTATATTATACTTATTTGGTTATATTCTTTTTTTTTTTTTTTTAAGATTCCATTCATTTATTTGACAGAGAGAGATCACAAGCAGGCAGAGAGGCAGGTAGAGAGAGAGGAGGAAGCAGGCTCCCCGCTGAGCAGAGAGCCCGATGCGGGGCTCGATCCCAGGACCCTGAGATCATGACCTGAGCCCAAGGCAGCGGCTTAACCCACTGAGCCACCCAGGCGCCCCTATTTGGTTATATTCTAATAAAAACATCTAAGGATCTCAAAGTAACTTTAGCTGTATCCCACATTTTTAATGTGTTCTAATTTTTGAAAAATTTCTGTATGATTTATTCTTTGAGTCATGAGCTATATAGAAATGAGTTTAATATTTTCAAATGTGTAGGGTTTTTGTTTTTAGGTGTAGATATCTTCGAATTTTTTTTCTAGAGAATGTAATCTGTGTGATACAGATACTGTACAATTTCTTGAGACTTCTCTGTGGTTTATTTTCATGTTTCATGTGTTTTGAGGGCTCTATACAATGCACATCAGATCTACCTTACTAATCATCTATATCTTCACTGTATTTTGTTTGCTTATTAATTAGAAATGTGTTACAATCTATTCTATGATTGTAGCTTTGTCTTTTTCCCTTGTAATTCTATCAATTTTTGCATACACACCACATTTATACAACCCCTACCTCTTCTTTATATAACTTATATATACAGGACCCCCTTTTTGCAGACCCAACACTTCCTCTTGTTTGAACTTAAAACCCCTAGTCCGTGGGGATGGGAAATAAAAGAAACTGTGGTGTTAGATCTGGTAGATTATTATGGGGGTTTCTTGATTTCTGTTTGTTTTTAGGACACTAGAGACTTATAGTATATTCCTGAGAGCTCAACTACATATTTTAGAAATGGAGTATTTTATTTTTCAAAGTACTTTTATCTGCCGTATTTGCGAGAACTAGAGCTTGATGCATTTCTTGCCACAGTGTGAAAAATAACTTTTCCTTTTGTGTTTTTACTTTTATAAGACACTTCCTTTTTGAAAAAAACTTCTGGGGTCAATACTTTGGTCATTTACTTGTGTATAAGATTCTAGTTGAGACTAAGTGGTAAAGATGAAGTAATCCAACAATTGAAGGTAACTAAATGGGTGAATTTGGGCAGATCTCTTTTAACTTTCCAGGTCTTTTTTTCTATTTAATACAAATTTCTATCACTAGTTTCAAATCAAGGGGGCCATTTGCTTCCTCTGGGAATATTTTCTTAAATATAAATTATTTTACTTCAGAATTGCTGAATTAGAACCTCTTGGAGTAAGGTTCCAGGCATCTGGGCATCAGCATAAGTTGGATTCTTTTTCTGCTAAGGAAAAAAAATGTCTCCTCCTCCCCAAATCTGAAGACATTGAGAAACTTTATACCAACCCAGAGTAGGTTAATATAATTGTTTCCTCTTTAACTTCATTTCTTTGTTAATATAAACTATGTTTGACAGGCCCACAATTGCTCACCACTAAGGGTGACTGCTTGGGTACATGTAGGCACAGGGGTGCAGAATATGGATGATTCCACACCTGTCTCTTTAGGATCAAAATCACTCTGTGGGTTCCTGGGATGGGGCCTCCGTGAGATCACACTCACTCTATAGGACCACAAAATCATGCTTTGGAAACCTGACCATTTTTGGTTTGTTGGATTCTGTAATTACTTATTTTTTGGTTTTTCTTCAGTACTTGGGAAAGATCTTGGAAAATGTACCTTGTCTCAATCAACTATGCTAAGGGGAATCACAGAAGACAAATATGCAAATCTGAGTTGATGTTTTAGAGAGGAAGAAAAAGCTCTGGAGCCGTGGGGGCTCCATGTGGCAAAAGGGAAAGAAAGAAGGTCTTGGGAGGAAGAAAAGTTGGGTGGCCAGGTCCCCTCCCTATCCAGTCTTCTTGAGGTATCTTGAACAGTGGGATGGATTTCACATGTATGAATGTATGTTCTGAAGAAAGGTTCATATTTTCTCTCAGATCCCCAAAGTTCTTCCTGGGAAGATGGTTCTATCCCAGAAATTACAAAGGAGCCGGCTTCTAATAGAAAACCTAGGTGTTGGCGTCTCACAGAGAGTTCTTGCCCCCAGGAGAAAATACAGGCATATTTATTTTGGAAGAATGGTAGCTCAGTTCAAACTCACAAATCCCTACTGCATATTTCCTTTGAATGCTAAGAGATGCAGATTTCCAAATGGAATTTTCCTTGAAGGGAATGCCAGGCTGTGAGGTATCATACATTGAGTAGGAACTTTAAGACTTAGATGGGCCTGTTATAATTTTGACTTGGTGACCTTGGGCATGTTTCTTAAATTCCTTGTGCTTCACTTACTTCATCTACAAAACAGAATTAACATTATACCAATTGCAGAATTGTTGTGAGGACTCAATGTGATAGCTTGCAATAAATGCTAATTTTCTTTTCTTGGCCAACAAATAAAGAGTATAATCATCCTAACTACATGTAGAAACATTTGATACTAAAAGCAGCTGCTTTGTTACTTGAGTCTTCTACAGTTGGTGTGGAAGGCATCACTTGAGAAGTAATCTCTCTATCCAGCATCCTGTAGCTTTGCTTTGCCTGGCCTACGGAAGTCCTGGTATTCCTTATTAATTTCTATTTTCTTTGGAGATTCAGATAATGACTGCCCATGGTCTGATTTTAGGTTCTCGGTTTTGTCTGAAGTGTTTAGTTCAGGTTTTGGTTCTGGCTTTCCTCTATCCATCAAACATTTGTTTCACACCTAGTGAATGCCAGGAAATATGGAGAGTACATAAGATATGGTTCACAGTGTTCAGATCCTCAAAGATCTCCACGTTCTTGGGGGGAGGGGCAGATAAGAAGGGACACTTTGGCCTCCATTGGGCAAGACAATCACATGAAGGGCTGTGTATTCAGAAAAGACCTCATTGTGAACCAGATAGGGTGATAGACATGGAAATAAAGATACATGGACAGATTTGAAAGAAGTTCAACTACGGCCTGGAGTGAATAATAACACATAGTTGAAGGAATCTTTTCTCTATCTTGTGGAAGATCAGTTTTTGAAACTCTGTTTGGCACTTTATTTTTCAAGGTAAGTGGAACCACCAAAATATGGCCTAGATGTCTCTGTGACCTGGATGGTCAACTATTAATTGTTCTGAGGGAGAAGGCAGAAGTCTGGAGGTGGTTTCCAACAGAGGGTAGTGCCTGAGCAGTGAGTGCAGAAGGCTGGGGTGAAAGGTGGTGTCCTCAAACCAGGATGTTCAAGGCAAAGTAGGCAGCATTTAAAAGAACACAGACATTGCCATGTTTGTGGCACTCAGTAAATATTTGTTTGCTTTTAAAACTCACCTTTGTCTTCAGTTGCTTCACCTCAAAAGTAGGGGGAACCACTCTGATCTTATCAGGTACAGTAACAATTTGATAGGGAAGACCAGAGAGAGTCTGTCTCACGGTCTCATTACAAGGGATCACTTTATCATTCAACCCTCATCAATAGGCCAAATATCAATAAACCAGTAAGACATTTTTCAGTATGTTCTTTCTCATTAAACCAAGTCAAAATTTTCACCTTAATACAGGTTAAGGGAAAACAAACAAAATACTTGGCACTGGGCTTAATGGAGGGCTCAACCTTACCAAAATAGAAATGGCTTTACTGTTTTGTTTTTCTTATTAATAAAATTAGAAAGACTTCATTAAATGTGAAAGGAAATAGGACCGTTCATCTCAGAGAGATGTTTGATAAAAGGGAAAAATACTATTTTGTACTCTATGAAGTACATAATTCTAATGGGAGGTGATTTCCTTTTCCTTTGTACTATCTATAAAAACGGTTTTGTAAGAATATAAGTATAAAGAAGGTTTCAAGATAAATAGATTATTACAGAAGAACATTTTAGCAGGACTCAGCCAACTGAGCAAAGGCAGTGAAAACCCTGTTTTGTTATTGGTTATTCTCATTCTCTGACTGCTTAAAGAACCACTCAACTCAGCTCTCCTGCTGGCAAGGTACGCGGCCTTGGGCGAGTTAATTGAACATTGCCATTTTCAGACTCCTATTTTATCTGTGAAATGGGATTTCTCCTATCAGTTCAAAAGGTGTTTGTTGAAATAAGGATGTATTTGTGAAGCACCTAGCAACCGACTGAGGGAAAAATAAGTGAGTAGGGTTGTATTGAATTTTTTGATTGTGGTCATCAAAATGGATCCCAAAGAATACTTCATCATCATCTTTGGAAAGTGCTTCTAATCTACATCTATCACTGAATATAATAAAACCTTTCTCTTTCCAAATACTGTCCAGTTACTAAATCAAACTGGCCTCTCTCATAATTGGTCCGAATTTCCTAAATGTGGTATTATGTAGTCGGTCAAGGTGTCTTGAAGCAGCTGGGGTTTAAGCTAGACATGACTAAGGACTTCCTGAGGATGCATGATTCCCAAGGCCCAGACTAACTGGGAGAAGCCTGAAGTTCTTGGAGGCTTTACCTCAGATTTTTGTTAGTGCTGAGTGGATTCAGTGGTATCCGCGGGCTTCTCGTAGAGGAACTGATTCATTTACCTCCCAAGCTAACAGGCCTCGAGCCTGTGGGTTTGGTTTGCTGAAACTACTTTACTATACCTGTGCACTTAAGGTTTCCAGAGGGCTTTCTATCCTTGGGAAAGCCATGAGGGGTACTCCGCGGGGATCCTCAGGTTTGGGTTTGGAAGGAGATCCTTGTGTTCCTTTAAAGTTATGGACCACACACATGCCCTGCAAGGGGAGGGGACAAAAGACCAGGGTCAGACTGCAGCCATCAACGCCTGGCCCTCTCGAAGGGTGGCAGGCCTTTCCCCTAGAATGTCTTTGCCACCGTGACTTTTTTTCCCTTCGAGCCAGTGGGTAGGGACCACACAAAGACCTTGGGCACAATCTAGGTGTTTGCTGAGCACCTCTAAGGGCTGAAGAACCATCTGACCAATCACCATGAGGTCAGTGAAAATCAACCTTCCCCCTTGTGCCTGTTTCCCCACCTGTAAAATGGAAATAACAACACCTCTTTCATAGATCTATAGTGATTAAAAGACACAATGAGTGTAAACTACCTCATAATAACAGCTGACATTTACTGAGGGCCGCTCCATGGCTGGCATTGTCCTGAGAATTTTCCCTTCCTGCATGTAACCCACTCAACGATCTTACAAGGGAGGTACTATTATCATCTCCAACTTAGGCAAGGAGGCATGGTGAAGTTAGATAACTTGTCCAAGATCCCAGAGAGATTTTAACTCCATAGCCCCTTGGTCATTCCACCATACTCTCCTGCCTCTTCCCAAGTGCCAAACTCATGGAAAATAATCAGTGGGAGCTAGTCTTCACCTCCTGCCCAAGATGACCATCCTTAAATCATAGGACTACTGTTTGCTTGAGATTAAATAATGCCGTGGCACATTTCCTCTATTGCTTCCATTAAAGTACTCTCCCTCTAAACTACTACTCACTTTTCTTTATTTCCTACTAAGGCCCCCTTCATAACTAAGTCTGTCTTTACCATCTTCTCTGCTTCTTTTGCCCTCATAGAGTTTATCTGTCTCTTTCTGTGCTCTCTCTCCCCTTGTTATGAATCTTTGTTTCTATATCCAGTATCCCTAAATCTTTTTTTTTTTAAAGATTTTATTTATTTATTTGACAGAGAGAGATCACAAGTAGACGGAGAGGCAGGCAGAGAGAGAGAGAGAGAGAGAGAGGGAAGCAGGCTCCTCGCTGAGCAGAGAGCCCGATGTGGGACTCAATCCCAGGACCCTGAGATCATGACCTGAGCCGAAGGCAGCAGCTTAACCCACTTAGCCACCCAGGCGCCCTCCCTGAATCTTTTTTTAAAGGAAATTTTAGCTTTTTAAAAGAGATCTTATTTATTTATTTGAGAGAGAGACAGAGATAGCGAGAGAGAGCACAAGCAGGGAGAAGCAAGTTTCCTGGGAGCAGAGAGCCCGATGGGGGCTCAATCCCAGGACCTTGAGATCATGACCCAAGCCGAAGGCAGACACTGAATCGACTGAGCCACCCACTTACCCAGTAACTTTGAATCTCTCTTGTCACTCTTCAAACCCGGCAGAACATTTATGTAAATATTCTCTACTTGGCTTTCTTCCATCTCACTCTCCAGGTCTGATTAAACTGCCTCCATTAAAGAAATAGGAGAAATGGGAGGTATAGGAACTCTGGAGTTGGAAAGACCCAGGTTAGATTTATGGCTTTCTTGGTTGGGTGGCCATTGGGCAAGTTACTTATTTTTGAGCCTAACTTTCTTCACCTATAAAATGAGGATAAGAATATAATTCGGCTTGTCCTAGGAGCACGTGACTTGGTGTATACAAACGGTAGAACATGTAGTGATTGCTCACTTAACAGTCCCCTCCCCACCATTTCATTTTCACAGAAAACGCAAAACAAGAATGCACATAGGCTGCAGGTATGCTCCCATTCTCGGACTCTTCTTTCCCTGTGTCCTCTCCAAGTCTCCAGTTTAGAGAGCTTCCAGTCTCCTCTAAGACCCATTTCCAAGCTCAGTGTGAGTGCATGTGCGGTGTGCACGTGGGCACACACAGAAAATAGCGGGAGATTGTGGGGTCTCTCTCCTGCCAGAGAGATTCAGTAGCAGTTCTGGGTCTTACATAAAGACTGTTTGTGGGAAAAAAAAAAAAGTCTGATATTTTCCATCCACTGGGAAGCCAGTAACAGAGCAAACACTAACTGAGTGGTAGGAAACAGGGCTGCAAGTTACTCAGAAAAATCGAGTTTAATACCAAAGCAGAATTTGTATATGGCTCCTTAGAAAATGCACAAAGGATTTCCCAGATTCATCCCATAAAACCTCATGCAGTAGCTTGGGACTGTGAGCACTGCTCTTTCTCTCTAGCTGGAGATGCTGGCTCCAGGACGGAGGGACAGCAGAACTGTTTGACTTCTGAGCCCAAGCCTTCATTTTTGAACTGCTTATCTGTCTTTGAGAACCATCTCTTCTCTTGAAGCCTCCCATACTCTTTCCTTCTTTTAAAGAGCAGACATTGGAAATTACTCCTTAGGGGATATCAACATCTGAGGACCATTTCAGCACCGTTTTCCCTACAGCTTCATACAGACCATTTGCACTGAAGTCCTCTGTCTTTTACTTTAGAAAGAAAGCTTGGATCCATTAAAAATAATTTTGAATTAAAATGGAGCTTCCTAATCTCCCCTGGGAGATCAGTGTTCTGAGTAAATGTGAGCATTTTCTGTATCTCAGCAGATTAAAAAGTTGGAAAACTCCAAGTTAGAGATGGGGAGAGGCATATGTCTATTTTGTACATTAAGTAGCACAAGGAGGAGGGATAGGACAAGAAAGAATTAGGTCCCAGGACTGTGAAATGCATCTATGTGCGATGCCAGTCTTTTTTTTTTTTTTTTAAGATTTTATTTATTTATTTGACAGACAGAGGTCACAAGTAGGCAGAGAGGCAGGTGGAGAGAGAGGAAGCAGGCTCCATGCTGAGCAGAGAGCCCGATGTAGGGCTCGATCCCAGGACCCTGGGATCATGACCTGAGCCGAAGGCAGAGGCTTTAACCTACTGAGCCACCCAGGCACCCCGTGATGCCAGTCTTAATGGGGGCTTTGGACCAGAGTAGGCAGGAGGGTAGGAGGGACATTAAGGCTGTGATGGCTTTCGCGTTTTAGGGATAGCTTGTTGAATATGACCAGGGGACTCATTTTCTGCACAACATATGACTCTCCAGGCCCACTGATTTACTATAAATCCTCCTGGGTATATTTTAAATCCCTGAAGAGTATTTAAAAATTATACTTCTGTGGTATGCCCACAAAACAAAATATTCCACAGCAAGAAAGAGAAGTGAATTATTGCTACATGTTACAATAGATGAATCTCAAAATAATTATGTCAGGTGAAAGATAGCAAAAAAAAAAATACATACATACATATATATATAGATATATATATGGATATAGACTTGGGTGCCTGCGTGGCTTAGTTAAATGGCTACCTTTAGCTCAGGTCATGATCCCAGAGTCCTGGGATCGAGCCCCGCATCAGCTCCCTGCTCAGTGGGGAGTCTGCTTCTTCCTCTCCTGTTCCTCCTACTTGTGTTCCCTCTCTTGCTCTCTGCCAAATAAATAAATAAATAATCTAAAAAAAATGAATATAGATTCTATGATTCAATTCATATGAAGTCCTAGAAAAAGCAAACTCATATAGAGTGATAGAGTGATGGAAAGATCAGTGGTTGCTTGGGAATGAGGTGAAGGAAGAGAGAGAAGGATGTATCTGTATGTCAAAATTTATTGGGGTGCCTGGGTGGCTCAGTGGGTTAAAGCCTCTGCCTTTGGCTCAGGTCATGATCTCAGGGTCCTGGGATCGAGCCCTGCATCAGGCTCTCTGCTCCTCTCTTCCTCCTCTCTCTCTGCCTGCCTCTCTGCCTACTTGTGGTCTCTATTTGTCAAATAAATAAATGAAATCTTTAAAAAAATGTTTATCAAATTGTACACTTCTTGTGCCATTTATGATCTGCCTAGCATACTTCAATAAAATTGTAATAAAATAAAAACAATAAAAATTAACCTCTTCACTTCCAATCCAACTCAGATGAAAAGATTTCCTAGCTGAGCAGGTGGCAAGGTCCCCATCTATTTGAGGAACTAAAATCATCGGAAATGTCAAGAGATGGAGAAAACTGTATTACCCCAACCTCTTCTCCAGAAAGGTTATTATATGTAGTTGAGCAGCCAACTGGAGTGGAATCAAGTTGCCCAAGAGCCACGTTTAGATGGTAATAGAAGCCTTTTAGAAAGTCTGGGTGTGGCTAGAGGAGGGTTTTCATACTGCTGAGTGGGATATACAAGCTTGGACCAGAGCTGAACTTCTGGGGTGCCTGAGAAGGGGCTGTCTTGCTTCCACCCATGGTCTTTGTTTTCCGTTCTTCCCTCAAGCAACACTTGGCCTCTGCTCTCAATACCTTCTGCACAAATATTTAAAGAACAATGCTCTGGGGATGTCTGGATGGCTCATTCCTTAAGCGTCTGCCTTCAGCTCAGGTCATGATCCCAGGGTCCTGGGATGGAGCCCTGTGTGTTGGGCTCCCTGCTCCACGGGGAAGCCTGCTGTTCCCTCTCCCACTCCCCCTGTTTGCGCTCCCTCTCTTGCTATCTCTCTCTCTGTGTCATAAATAAATAAAATCTTAAAAAAAAAAAAATAAGAACACTGCTTTAAGGTACACCAAATTACTAGTCTGCCAGGCCTCACTCCTTAGCCCAGGAGGGGTTGGAGGAAGTGGGACAAGCCATTGGCCCCAGGCATTCCTCTTCCTGACCACCATGGGGAATATGCAATCAGATTCCTGGAAGAAAATGTACTTTAGAAGTCCTTTTTGTGGCAATAGGATGCATAATCCTTAGGGGGGGAAAAATGGCAATTTACGAGGCTGGGGCAGGAGGAACATGGACTTGCTCGGCGGTCTGGCTAATCTGACTCGCCGTGACCCTGGACAGACTTTCAGGGGAAACAGAAGGAGGGAAACCGACCCACCAGAAACAGGGCTACAGCGGTGCCCAGGATGAAGCCGGCAATCACGTCGGAGCCGTGGTTCCGGTACTCGGAGACCCGATTGAGGCCTGTCAGGAAGGCGGAGCAGAGGGTCCCCAGGCACAGCACGGGTTTGGCCAGACGACTGCTCTTTGTCTTGATTGTGCTTGTGATGTACATCTGGAACAGGACGGAGACCCGTGAGTGCGAGGCTGCCTGCGCGGGGCGCAAACCCACACACGCGTTCACACACACGCGCACCGGTACGTGCAAACGGAGGCGAACAGGGCCGTGCCAAGGCGGGCACACTGACCACTTGAACATCCTCCCAAGTCGCTTAGGTTAGAATCTGGGTCGGAAACCAGTGCAGCAAGAACCACACACAGCCACACATGCGTCGTGTTGCTCTGTGTTCTAGGGGCCCATAAACAGAAATAGCGATGCAGGGACCCGGGGCAGAATAAAGATCAGTTTCAGAACAGGCATCTTTTATGCAACAAATTCAAGATTCACTTGGGGGGTATTGGGAAACCCATATCGAATCTCAGAGACCAAATTAACCTTCTGTGAGAATGAATTTTATGGAAGAGAAGACCAGGTAGGCGAGTGGCCATACATTTCCCTTTTGTTGTCCCCCACAGTTCTAGCTGATTCTTCGCACTCGTAGGCAAGAAATATGAAAGCATTGACTGGTTAGTAGATTGACGGAAATAGAACTTTCAGATGAGTGCGTCACACAAAGGTTTTAGCTGTGCTGGGAAATGGATTCTCACAGTCCTTGGAACAGCTGTGATGGGCTCTGTCCATTTACTCTGGCGTGCTTTAAAATACTGAGCCTTTCTATGGGTTTCACAACATCCGAAAGGTTGGGAAGATCTGGCCTGAGGAAAGGATGATGCAATTTATGATACCTGAGATGTAGGCTGTTCTTGTTCATTGTGGGGAGTTGGGCAAGACTCTTCAAGTTTCAGAGGCTCGGTTCTTAAATGTGTGTCTTGTGGGCTAGAGCCTCTTCCACAGAAGTCATTAATCACCTTTGGTAATGGTTACAAGAAGCCACTAGAGGGCATTACTGATCCATCCCATAATTTCTTTAAAAATTTGACAAGTGAGTTTGCAATTCTGAGAAATAGTTCGCTAATACTCATGGTCTCTAGTGTATTTTTATGCCCTGAGCACAGACAAGTTCAAATAGATGCGTTCTACAATATGACCATGGAAACTTAATTTCCTAAATTCACCGTTCACAACAGTGGTGTGAATACAGGCAGACAGGATCCTCTATTACTGGTGACAGATGTGCTATGGAAAACCGTGGTCCGATCAGCTACATAAATGAGAACACATCACGACACCATTCTGACCCTGTATAGGAAACGTTACTTAACACCCATACCAGGTATGTTTAACTTGAGTATTTAATATTTTTGTGGTTTTTTTTTTTTTTTTTTTTTTTTTTTAGGTATACCCTTTATAAATCCTTCCCATAAGATTACAAACTATCAAGAGCATGGGCTTATGGTTAGTATTCTTCACAGTATTAACCAGTACTTAGGACATCCTTGTTGAGTAATTTCTGAAAGCCCTTCACACATAGTAGGGGCTCAAAAAGAGTTCACACAGTTGGAATCTTGTATCAGGGTTTATCTGATTATAGTCCATCTGTGGCCATGATTTGGATTGGATTATATCCGAATCCTCGAAAACAAGTGCTACAGCAGCATCTCTTCTGAGTGAACAGAATTCTTTTTACTCAGAAGAAATTTATATCTCATCTGATGAGATAATCAGTTATTATGAGTAACAGATTAATTTTTATAGTGGTGTTACACAAATTTCACACAGCAATGACTTGAGTTGGATCAATATACAGAAAAGGGTTCAAGAGTACATTGCTTCATATGAAATTTGGTTCTAGATAATTCAGAACAAATGGATATTTTGAAAGTGGAAAAATATGCTGACTGCCTGAGAGGATATTTTTTGTTTAAAAAATATGTGGCCTGCCAATCGATTGATCAATCGATCGATCTATCATAAAGCAAAGAAGGCTTACCAAGCTACAACTGATCTGTTTTGTAAGTTGAGGGTTCTCTATTATCTACATGCATGTTTCCTTAATGAGCGGCAGCTGAAATAATTTTTATCACATACTCATTAAAAGGAATAACTAGGAAAGCTAATTTTGGGTAATTCATCCTACCTAAAAGGAATAACTAGGAAAGCTAATTTTGGGTAATTCATCCTACAGATGTGATCCTGTGAGCTCGACACAAAGGAACCATTGTTTTAAAGAGAATATTCAGCAATTTATTTTAAACTATGCTATATAGTCCGGACATGTAGTCAGTCATCTTCTCTCCACCCTGAATTTGTCTCCAGGGATGTCAGAGACACTCTCCCATCAGAGGCAAGCTCTCAGCAGAGAGTACAGTTACTCTCCCTGGAAACTGTGGGAACCTGCTCCCCTGGGGGTAGGGTGAGTCTTGCTCAGAACCTCTGGGAAGAATGGATTATTTTAAGGGGGTCTTTCCTCTGCCCTCTCCTTCCCCTCCCTTTCATTGAGAATCACTAGACTAGTCATACCTGGAACTAAGTTCAAGTAAGGAAAAGGTGTGTTTTTGACCAATAGTTGCTCTTCCACAGGTAAAGGCATGGGATACCCAGCTTTTGAGTTGATCCCTTCTTTACTTCCTTCCATACTCCTGGTTCTAAGGAAGCATAGGCCAGAGAAAGGGAAGATGAAGTCAACCCAAAATGGACACAATGAAAGAGTAGGAAAATAAAAGGGACACCATTGTTTCTTCTTGTATTTTAAGGCATGAGACACATTTCAGGTTTTTTTCTGTAATGAAAGCAAAAAATGTAAAGAGAACATTACACCTTAGCGGGGGCAGTCAAACCCTGTATGATTTGCGGAGCAGCGAGAAGTGAACTTTTGGGTGTTGGGGCTCATGTAGTATTGTCCAACTCTTCTGGCTAAATAAAGAGGAAGAGTGTCAGGAGGAGCAGAGGGAAACTGTGTTTTTCTCCCAGGTCTGCTGTACTCCCCAGGCAGCCATGTGCTTGAAGGCCCACACCTGCAAATTTGTAGGCAGGTATAAGAAATGTGTGCTGTTCTGGGACCGATGAAAACTTTGGCAAAGAGTGTTGTTGTGGGCAAGTGGAAGAATCCTGGACATGGTGCCAGGAGCATAGGTACCAGCTCCAACCTGGGGGCTCTCAGCTATTTTCTGGGCCTCAGTTTCTGCATCTGTAAAATGGGAAGACCTGACTAAGAGATAATCAACCCTGCCAAATTAATAGCCTCTGGCAGGTCAGTACATTACCCTGGGATGTTGGGGAGGGGGGTAGGGGCAACAGTGTGATGCCGTACAAGAGAAACATGCTGTCACGTGTTTCCTGTAACACTCTAAGTGACAGCGATAAGAGAAAGAAGGTGAGGAGGGGAGAGAGACTCCCGTTCCAGCCAAACACTCGTCTTGGTCTTGGGATTGACAACAGGACTTCAGTACTCACCGTGGCATATAAGGCGGAGTAAATGCTCAGAGCAGCGTGTTTGGAGGGAAAGGATCTCCGAGCCTTTTCTATCACTTCCATGTCCCCAGTGCAAATGTTCCCATTGTTGATGAACTGGTGGTGTGCCCGGCAGTCTGCACTGGTGTAGTTCGGCTTGCACACTGTCAGGAAGTACGGCGTCAGGTGCCCCGTGACCACCTGCCCGGCGTTTACAAAAATGTCAGTAGCAAAAAGTCCGAAGGCAAATACCCCTGCAAGGAGAGTGGAAATGATCAGGAATGATGACGTCGATACAGTTTTGTACCCGAGAGAAGAGAAGTTGTCCACAACAACCTGCCAAAGAGGACCTCACTGGAGTCAGATGGTCCCCTGACTTTTGTCTTTGCAGGGATTGGTGCCTGCTTCCCCAACCATTATGTCCTCTAAACTGACGCAGACCTTCTGCTGTTCGCATGTTATTGTTTTGTGTAAGTAAGGTGGGAGCAACACGTTCAAATGGAAAGAACTAGAATTTTGGAGTCCGACTGATCTGCCTCCCTCGAGCCCCAGCTTTGCTGATTCACTCACTGTGTGTAAGCTATTCGCCTTCTCTGAACCTTGGGACCCTCACTCACAACATGGTTGGGGGCGATGATGCCTCACAAAGAAGTTGGAAAGGTGACATGGGATAGGTCCAAAATACCCACCACGGTGCCTAGTTTCAATAGCTACTCAACAGCAGTTCATTCCCTTTTTCTCCCATAGAAAACATATTCTCCCTGGTCCTGTTTGGAAATGAAAGTACTCCGAAGGGGTATCTATGAAATCAACGGCAGCTGAGAGTGAATGGGGTTGTGCGGGAGTTAACCCTAAAAGAGAGAAAGAAGGTCATTCCGGAAACCTCGATTGAACTGGATGTTTCATTGATGTTGGGCAGAGAAAATGAGAAGGGACGAGTGTTAAAGACGGAGCGTTCCTGACTGCTGCTGTAACAGCCTTCCACAAACTGAGCTGCTGAGAACAACACAGGTGGACCCTCTTACAGTTCTAGAGGTCTGAAGTCCAAAACAGGTTTCACTAGGCTAAAATCAAAGTGTTAGCAGCTGTGTTCTTCCCGGAAGCTCGAGGGTAGAATTCATACTTTGCCTTTTCTAGCATCTAAGCTGCCTTCATTCTTTGTCTTTGACCCCTTCCAGCAATCATACCATCATGACCCCTGCTTCTATTGCCATACTTCCTCCTTTGACTCAGATTCTCCTGCCTCCCTCTTATAAGGACGCTTAGATTACATCGGGTCCACCCGACTAATTCAGGATAATCTCATCTCGAGATCCTGAATTAGTCACACCCGTAAATTCCTTCTTGTCATATAAGGTATCAAATCTACACAGTTTCTAGGGATCAGGATACAGCCATTTGGGGAGAGGAGGGTATGGTTCTTCCGGCCACAATGACTTTGCTGTTTGGCCGAGAATCCTGTGGGTAGGCTATCTTTCCTATCTTTTCTGGATTTTATCTGTCCTCTGGCAAATTCTACAGGATTAGTCCCAATAAGATTGAACATGATAAAGCAGAATTCCTTACGGGAAGCTTCCCTGTGAACTCTTTCAAAGCCTATACAGTACGGCGATAGCTTCTCAATGGACTATTGTCTGTTCAATACACCAAGAGGTGCTGCAGCGCCGAGCTACGTACAAGTTGTTGGAAGGGATAAAGATTTCTGAAATGCGGCTCAATTATGGGAGAAGTTGGCAAGTGTGAGAGAGAGGCAGTGTTAACCCTTGTAAATGTCAAGGATCTGCTATAGTTTCAGTTAAATGTCTACCCAACTCGGATTCCCATACAATGTCCTAGATCTGCAAATTGTGCTGATATCAGCACCCAAAAGTTAATCCATTATAGCAGAAATGAAGGCAAGTTTGGCTGAAACCTTCATCCGGTTTTCATTTTGATCTGTATTGATTGCTGTCATTTTCCTTTTTGTGGCTCTGCCAGGATGTGCTTTATCACAATGAGAACTGGCTCTTTTAATAGCTTTGGCTGGCTCACTCTCAGATGGTCTGACCTCTGAGAGTAGGCAATCATTGATCATTCATGGCAATTTTCACCTCCAGGTTCTGGAAGTCTGAATGGTTAGACATTTTTTTTTAACACCTTCAAGCGAGATTCTTAAAGACCAGGTCTCCCTGGCTTTTTCAAGGGGGCAATAAGTCTGTCTCAGCATACTTTTCCAGGAAACTAGGGTAATTTATGATTTGAAAAAGGGAAAGTGGCAGCACTTTCCTCTGGCATTTTATTTGTCAGAAGCGCTTCCCATCGGGGCAGGTTTGATCTTTCTGAGATGGGATTTCCAGGCTCCTCGGCTTGGTGTCTGAGGTGTCTCATGGCGGTGCTGCCGTGGGCAGCTCTGCTCTTTATTGTTCCGGGATATTTTTGCAGAGAGTGGGCCTTCCCCTCTTCCTCTCTGCTTCCTTAGGATCACCTCTGCTTTTCCTGATGGCTTAACAAGCATCTGCTTTCCAAACAGTTCATTCTGGTGCATTTGATCTAGCTTCAGAAGGGCCCTGTGGCAGCCCCGGGGAATCCACCTGCCTGACATGGGCGGCGACAACAAAGGGCGGTGGACCCCACAGCAGCGAATCACAGAGAATGTCGGATCCTACAGGGCTTTTGTGAGACACTCCAGCTATCGCTCTGAACCCTGAGCTCCTTGTGTGTCTTTTCCCAGCCTCAGAAGCTCACAATGGCTACTTTTGTCCTTAGGGTCAGGTGGAACACCGTTTATGGTGTCCTGTATTGCCACATATGATTTGAAGGAGATGTTTTTAACATGTCTATAGAACCTACCTTGGGATCAAAGATTCTTTCAGTAAGGTCCTATTTTTGAAATTTTAACAGGTACGGTTTTTCATTCCTCTAACGCCCCCTGGTGGGTTCTATTTATCTTCTGAATCCGCTCCCAATAGTACTCCTTGCTTGGGGGGAGCTGATCACATTTATGAATGGATTAACCGCCAACAAAATAGTCTAAAAGTAAGGCGCTTTTGATTTGCCAGAGCTCCGTGCCTGAGACGCATGTCGATATCGTTGCTTTGTTTGGAATTCCAAAAAGGCTTGGATCGGAAGACTAAGAGCCATGGTCTGACCACTGAGTTTCTAAAATCAAACGTAACATAGGGGAGGATGTGGCTGGGGAGGACACACAAGGAGGAGTCGGAACCCTGGCTGAGGGCGTGAAGAGGCGTTCCCATACACTCTGCCTCACACTGGCTGTCAAACCCACGGGCAGGGCAACAGAAACCTCCAGGATGACTTTTGGAAATCTAGTGGAAGCACGTTCCATCCCATCTCAGGGTAGAGCTCAGGAGCACTGCAACTTTTTGGAGAAGCTTCATACCCAGCATGGTATCAGAATGGTGTGCCTCTATTAGCAAGGGCAGAGGGAGGGGCAAACTGGTAGAGCTCAAGGGACACCTCACAAGGCTCAGACATCCTGGTGTGGTGTGGGGTAAGCACTTGTAAACTGCTCCACTCTAAGGGATGATGGGCGTTAGAATGCTGAGAGGACAGGAGGCTAGAAGGGCCTGGAATTAGGACAAAGAAATTGATGATGTCTATTGTCCTTGTCAGGATGACACAGATCAGCCAAGGGAACCTGAGCATGCTTCTTCTTTGTGGCCTAAATAGGACACCTGTCAGGCACGAAGAAGGAGAAAGGATGAAGAGAAAGGAAGACAAAAGTATTAAAAAGTCCTTATTTTTTACCCTCAGGATTCCATATGGGTTCATCTGATCTCAGTCTGTCTCAGGACAAGTTAGGATCTTTGATCGCTAACAATTTAGGGCGTGGAGGTGAAACTCCGAGATCTGGTCCGTGCTATGGAATCGGTGCAGGAAACTACCCTTTTACTCAAATGTGAACGTAGCAGGAGCAGTGACATAACCAGGAAATGTGCATAAGGAGAACTAGCAAAGCCACGCATAACTGGCATGCTAGAAAAAGATACTAGGACTCAGAGCAGAATACCTTTAGGCCTTCCAAAAAAAAAAACTGGTCAAAGTACATAACCAGACTTCCTGGTGCCAAGGAGGATGTTACTGCTTTCCACACAGGTGACTCTCATTAGGAAGCCTACCCCCAGAGAGTAGGGTGGTAATGGGGGGAGGGGGCATTGGTGAGGTGAGGGAAGGACTAAATTCCTTTTAGCCACAAAGGTCCTGTGACCTGAAGGGAAACCTCTAAATTGAAGGCCAACTATTCTATATTAAATTATAAATGTGTAATTTCCAGTTTAAAATGGCACCTTGCTTGATTGCCCCTGGTAGAGCAGCTCTCAATGATCCACTGAAGCATACATGATGCCTGTGAAAAAAGAGGGAAACTCCCAGAGCCAACCTGAAGGGAGAGTCAGGAAGGGGTTTCCATTATCAGTAAGAGACATGGAGTGCGTTCTCTCTCTCTCTCTCTCTCTCTCTCTCACACACACACACACACACACACACACACACACACACAAACACAGACTTTTACTTCAGGAAAATTCAAACTTCTTAGAAGACAGAGATGAGGGGAGAAAATCAAGGGCAAGATTTCATTTCTCTCCTACCATCTGGCCCCTGACTCAGAGGTTCGGGATTGAGATTCCTCAGAAAATATGGCCATGGTCACCCTACTGGATGAGTTCTGCTCTTTGAATTTGCCTGGAACTGTCTTCTCACCTTCTTCAGTCTTCTCAGCGTTTTCAGAGACACACTGCTGGGCAAGAACTAGGTGGGAGGCGGCAGAGGCACAGGCAGCGGCCTCTTCTGGGAACAGACCCACAGGCTCTAGAGACAAGCGCCTGCTGGGCCCTGCAGCTGTGTGTGCTCTTCTTCTTTAAGGCAATGGGGGTACAAGGAGTGGAGGAGCTCCGGCAGGAAGCCTGCTGACTGGGGACCGGCTCGCGCTGTGCACACCAGCCTGCTCTCCAGCTGTAGCTCTGAAGAGCAGGCCAAGAGCAAGGCACACTTCTGTCTGCTGATCAATACTATGGGTGGGTTTGCCTCGCCTGAGTGGATAGGGTGGAAGAAACAATCATGTATCACATGGGGTTTTGGAAAAAAATTCCTATATTAGACTAGTATGATACTGTTTTACTTTTTCCTACCTGTTGTCCCAGTGAGAATTTTACATGTGTGTGATTTTCTAGTGATGGCCAACCCTCCCATTGGAATTACAGAATATACAAGCCCTCTAAGAGCACTGAGAACGTCTATTTTAACATTGAGTCCT